AACTTACACTTTGTAGCGGTGATTCATGGTTTTCACAGTCTGTAGAATCCTTATGTCAGGAATTGCCTGTGGAGCCGAAGGAAGCCAAGAAGAACGGAAAGCTTCAGGTACCTGGTTAGCACGGATTGGCCGGGGGGAGGAGTCCATGAGCCCTAGAAAGTGTCTGTTTTAGCCAAAGAACCTGCACTTTGTAGTAGTGATGCATGGTTTTCACAGTCTGTAGAAATCACATCTCAGGAATCTTCCGCGGAGCTGAAGAAAGCCGCGGAGAGCAAGAAGTTTCAGGATCCTGATGGGCACAGAATACTACAGACATGTATATATAGGTTTTAAATCAAGAACACAGCCGTCAGATGCCAGTAGGATAAACATGGGTCAGGCATCCAAGTTCATCGAGTTACTTTACAGATTGCTTTGGACTATAGTTGGTTGTTTTAAGGCGGACTGTTTTCAGGATATGAGGTGTTCAGAGGCTGCTTAAGAATAAAGCCTAGCAAACAGATGCAAAAAAGACTGAGGGCTTTATTAGTGGCTTTATTATGTACAATTGAGCTTACACTGCTTAGTGCTCATGTGTGGCCAACCCTTTTTGTAGAAGCCTATATCTCAGGACTTTGCACCGGAGCAAGAGACAACGCCTTGTGAAGCACTTGGTTCCTTGCCTCCGCTGCCTCCTCCTACAGGCCCACCAGACGCTGCTTTGACTACATTTATGTACATATATATATATATATTATAGGTGCGTATATATATATATAGGTATGTATTTTTTCACATGGATGTGATTTGTGATTATGGTTTGTGGTTGATTGCTGTTTGGTGTTGTTTTTGTAGTGCTTGGGTATGGGCACAGTCATTTTGTAGGAGCATATCCTAGGATATGCCTGGAGAAAGTGGCTGTGACACGCCTCTATCTGAATTCAATTTTCCAGAACTCCCTGACTACCCTTCTCCGGTGAAGCTGACAGAGGGCATCCGGCGTTGGGAAGAGAGTGATGAGGAGTTTTCTGTTCCTGTGGTGCCGACGGCGGGCGCTATTCTCTCGGAAGCTTCTGAACAGGGCATCAATGTTTTTCAATGTGTTTCATTGAATAGATTTAACAACCCGTACTCGCGTATTGTAGTTACAGTATTGTTTCACTTGTTTGTCATTTTGTAGGGACCATATCTCAGGAAGCTGCTGAAGACAGGGCTG